ACTCCCAGAATTCCCCAGCTGGCATGCTGACTGGGGAATTCTGGGGGTTGGAGTCCATCCAGCTTAAAGTTGCCAAGTTTGAGACTATTGAAGAAACATTCACCATCTTAGCAGTTAGGAAGTGAAGGAGGGTTGCTTTAGCTTAAAGCAGGGGTGTCCAACCTTGGCAACTTTAAGACTTGTGGACTTCAACTCCCAGAATTCCTCAGCCAGCAAAGCTACAAGTCTTAAAGTTGTCAAGGTTGGACACCCCTGGCTTAAAGCCTTCAAGTTTTCATTCTCCAGAATCACAGCTCCGCAGGTGGAGGAGAAATTTCACTGTCGTTTTGAAGTGCTGTCACATTTGAGACCCCGGGGGGACACCTGGTGAAACGCTGCACCGAGGCCCACCCCATTTTTCCGCGACGCCTCCTTTATTTTGCCAAGCAGGGAGCTGACTCACTGCGCCTATACAGGATCAACGTCTGTTATGGGCCCTTCTCTTCCTTGACGTCCCCATGATCTCTGGGCGAGAAGTTTGAGTTTCTTTCTCTTGTTTTGAAATGAGTCAGTGCCCTGGTTAACAAAAGAATGGAGGCGGCACCCAAGATCCAGATCCGGGGAAGGGACCAGGGCGATGCTTCCCCATTCAAATATCCCCAGGGGTTGAATTGCGGGTGCTGCCTAATGGCCCAGTGCCAGAGAAATACCCCGGTTCTGTTGGGAGGCAAGTCCGTGCAAATCGGTTGAATCTGGGATAGGGCGAAGAAGGTCGGAGAAGAAACCCTGCCCGGAGGTGGAGAAAGGCAGGGAGGGACTTTGGCTTTGGTTTTCCAAACACAAGGAATCCCCCCCTCAGCCGAAGCAAAGGGAAAATACTGGAGGCTGGGAAAAGCCTGGGGGGGGGGGGCAGGGAAGGAGGACCGGAGGCCTGGGGGGGGGGAAAGGTTTATCTGATGACATGAGGGGCAGCTCCCCAAAACTTCTGCCTTGGGACAAACTGAGTGAGGGAAGAGAGGGGCTTCTCCCACTCCTCATCTTTTGACAAAATCAACTAACCCAAAGGAAAAACAAAAACAGAAACCACCATCACCCCTAATCCTTTCTGCCTTCTTTCCAAACATCGGGAAGGGGCTGTTATTAAAGAGGGTCAGAGACAGGGATGGAAACTTTGGGGTGGGTGAGAGAGCCGGATCCCTCAAACTGGAGTTCCTGTGAGGGAGGGAAGGGAAGGAGGGGTGGAGGGGAAGGAAGGAGCAAGAAGTGGAGTTATGGTGTGAGAAGAAGGGAGGAAGGAGGAAAAGAGGGGAGGGGAGGAAGGGATGAGAGAAGGGAAGGAAGGAAGGAAGGAAGGAAGGAAGGAAGAAAGAAAGAAAGAAAGAAAGAAAGAAAGAAAGAAGGGAAGAGGGTCCTTCCCTGGCAGCCACTCACCGCCGTCCCGGAGGCGATAGGAAGCGCAGGCACCGAGGCTGCAGCGCCGCGTCCCGCTGCGGCCGGCGAAGGCGGCGGGCGCCCGGCGGAGGAGCAGCGGCAGGAGCAGCCGGGCCATGGTGGCGACCGGCCGGTTCCGGGAGGCGCTGCGCCGGGTCGCTCCGCCCGCCCGGACCACCCCGAGCCCGGCGCGGAGCTTCTGGCCGGCAGGGCGGGCAGCCTCCGCCGGCTCCTCCTCCTCCAGCTGAGCGCCGCTGCCCGGCCCAAGATTGAGGCTTCCCGGGGCGGAGGCCGCAGCCCGGCGCCTGCGGGGGTCTCGGGGGTGGGTGGGGAGAAGCCCCTTTACACAACCCCGCCTTTCTTTTCGGGGTGGGCAGGAAGCCCCCTCCTCGGCCGGTTGAGAGTCTATTGACTCTGTGTGTCTTCTTTGCATGCGATGTTATTATCAAGGAATACAAAACTTTTTAAAGTTAAAGTTAAGAGAGTCGGGGGGGAGGGGGGCGTGGGAACCGGTCCCCGGCTGGACACGGAACTCCGGCTGGAAGGGGCCTCCGTCAAAGTCAAAAGGGGTGGTCGGGTGGCCTCCGATAAACCGGGCTCTTAAGGGGATGGGCTGCAGGGGCAAAGCGAGACCCCCTCCCCAAAAGGCTACAAAACCCTATCAATCCCAGGCGCCGTCCTGGAAACGGGGCACGGGCTGGGATCCAATTCAGCCCCCCCCCCCCAATAACTTCGGAAAAGTTGGGCTGGCTAAACCAGCGTTTCTCAATGCTGGCTGGGGAATTGTGGGAGTTGAAATCCACAAGCCTTAAAGTGGCCAAGTTTGGGGACCCTGCCCAAGACGAGGGGACGGCCTTTGGATTGGAAAAATAAGTGGTGGTTTTTTTTAATGTTGATGCGTGACACTTTGCCTCCCCCATTTTTCCCTAAAAATCAGCCTCTTCAGTTGCTTATGAACTTCCTTGGTGAGCTGAGAACTTCAAGAAGTTGCCTTGGTTGGTTCCTGGCTCGTCTGAGTGAATTAAGAGATATAATTCCTCCCTTTTGGAGGGAATGGGGAAGTCTGCTGCTGTTTAATTTTTAATTTTATTTATTTGATTTATTAATCGCTTACAAGGTAAATAGGTATAAGGATAAAGGTGAGTATGAATACAGGAAAAAGGTATGAATAAATGGGGGTAAGAGGACAGGGACAGTAGGCAGGATTGTGCACTTATGCACCCCCCTTACTTGCTTAGCGCTCTCTCTTTCCTTGCCACCTTTCTTGCTGTGTGGCTGGGCGAGGGTTCACAGAGGCTTTAAAAACAGCCACAACAGTATTTTTATTGAAATAACTTGGAAAAATGGCTGTCTCTTAAAAGCAGATATTTCTGACTCTTCCCTCTAAATAAATCATTTTACTTCACCATCATTCGAAGGGCTGGCTTGCTTGGGTTTCAGGGAATTTTATATTCCAAGGACATCTTACTTGTGTGACTGTGAATAAGCTGAATAATATTGTTGGGGAAGGTTTGTCTGGGCTCTCTGCCCAGCTTGGATTATAAAGAGGGCAGCTTGGCTCGGCTGGCGTGCTTCCACAATCGTTCCATGTGCAAAGGGGCCACTTTTTAGCCCCCCACCCTCCACTGGACACAGTCCTGATTGTCATAGCAACATCGAAAGGCCTTGTGCAGATAGAGCCAAACTGGAGCTGTTTTATTTTAATCTAGTAGAGTTTTCTCAACTTCAGCCACTTAATGGACTTCAACTCCCAGAATTCAGAATCAAGCTGGCTGGGATATTCTGGGAGTTGAAGTCCACACAACTTCAAGTGGCTGGAGAAACTACTCTAGTAAAATAATGCTTTTCTCTGTTCCTTTGTGGTTGCCCTTGAGAAGTATAAAACTGACTTCTAAAAGGCAGTCTGTCCTTGGGGCTTTTGAAGGAACGCTGCATGCTGTACACAGCTGCACATTAATACCCGTGGCGCATATTTTATCCTTAGCAAATAAACGACACTTGCACAATAGGCTAAAACCTGTACACGGCCAAACTACAATGACAAAGTAGAAGCCCAGGTATTGAGGTCTTATCTCAACCAGACTCCCCGTTCAACTCTCATGTACTTTATTATGTGAGCGCATCCATCATGGTTTGCTAGCCGTGGCTTACAGCTTTAGGGTGATGGACGAGCAGAGCTGGATCCCACTACTAATGGGCTGAGGCTTCAGGGAAACCCAAATGCTCAGACTGGAAGGTGGAAATAAGAAGAAAAAAGAAAAAGAATTTAAGGCAATTTTTTTAAAACAGAGAGACTTTGGAATACCCTATAATGCTAGAGAGAATAGGTTAGGTTACGGGCACCACGAAGGTTAATTGAAACCACTCCTTATTGTCAAAAGGTTTTTTTTTCTCCAAGACTAAGCTGGCAAAATCTCCATGGCAACTCACCGCAAACAGAAATCAAAATAAGACAACTCTGCCATGGCTCTTGCTTTCTGCATCCATGTAACCATGCAAACGTGTGCTTTTTTAGACTTTAGAGCGGGGCACGCATCCATCCCACCCAGGTCCAGGCCTTTGGCACGGCTGCATTTGCCCGCTTTATAGAGAGGACATCTGGGGGAGGTTATTTTTCAGGTTTTAGCCTGTTATGAAAGCTCTCCGTGGGGGTTAAGCCTTGAGGCTCTTAATGGAATGTACAATCTCCAAATAATGAATAAACGAGGAGGTTTCCTGCTGGAAAATTGGGCCGCTTCCTATGAGCCTATTATGCTCATTTCCTATTTGTCTTTTTGCATGGCATCCAGTTGTCCACAACATGTTTCTCAACCGTGGCAACTTGAAAGTGGATGGAATTTGACTCCTTGCTGGCTGGGGAATCCTGGGAGTTGAAGTCTGTCATCTTCAAGCTGCCACGGCCGAGAAACACTCAGCTAGAATGTCTTGGCCCAGACTTTCCCAACCTAATCCCAATTCCCAGAATCCCCCAGCCAGCCTGCTTGGATATATGTGGACCTCAACTCTCATATTTCCCCAGCTAGCATGGTGATCTCTTTGAATTGTTTATGAAGTGGAGTAGAACAGCCCATCTTTCATGCTAATAATCTGGTTGAAAACGCAGTAGGGCAAGGAATCAAAGGCTTCATTTATATTTTTAAATGACTCTTGGCCTCTGTTTGAGGAATCCTTTGACAAGGCCAAGAAAGGGGAGAAAAACACACACACACCAGTTACTTGCGTGAGTCACACTGTTGTACTAGATGGGAAGAACTGACTCAAAATTTCCTGTGGATCTGCATTCATGCTAAAAAGTTTTGGCAGTAATTGTGAAAAAAACAGCAGGGATAGTAAAATATGAAATGCTCGTATGTTCCATGCTCATGTACCTCTGGCTGTCTATACTGCACTTTGAAGACACAGGAAGGGTTTATGAAACTTGGGTCTCTCTGCACCAGGTTTCCTTAGCTTCATGATGGTGGTTTGAATAATCCAGAACTGGCTGTCACTGCAATGGGCTAAGCAAGAAGCCGAGAAACCACAGGATGCGACCATTTGCAGCTGGCTTCAGTTTTTGCTACCTTCCTGAGGTGTTTTTTTTTTTTTTGCTTAATCTCCAAGCGGAAGAAGAACTGAATTTTTGCAAAATTCGTGTCCTTTTATGTGACATTTTTGAACACTTATTATGGCCTCAAAGATAAATAGAAACTGGTCTTCTTAGCTCTTGATGGGACACAAAGCTGTCAGTTACTCAGAAAAAAGTTAACATCCGTTTTGTTCCTAAGTAAGAAATCTACATCAAAGACAAATTCACAAAGTTGAGCTAAAAGTTGAGCTTGGTGGAAAGGAAGCTTTTAAAAAAAAAGTACTGGGCAAATGTACTTTATGGGATTTTTTTAAAAAAATGTTCCAGAACAACTACTTTTACCTGAAAAATTATATATATAATTTTATATTATATACATAATTTTATATTAGGGTCTCCTGTTTGAACAGGGGGCTGGACTAGAAGATCTCTAAGGGCCCTTCCAACTCTGTTATTCTATGTTACTCATGAAATCCTGTTTGTTCCAGTGATCCATAGCTGATCTACCAGTATTTATTTCGAAACCCAGAGGGGTTGGTTTTCCTCTGGTGGAAATGTTTGTTGGTCTGACTGGAAATTCCGGTTTCTAAAGCCATTGGGGTCCCTTGCGATTGTTGTACAAGCTTGGTTAGTATGCTAAGAGGTCCAAAGGATTTTCCGATGAGTGGAAAAGCAAAACTTTCCAACGGGGTAGATAACTGATACGCCAACGTGACCACAGGTGCACCAAAGCGGCCAGAATAAATCAAAGACAGAGGCATGGTTGGTTATGGCATTGTTTGGCTGACCTCTTTTAACTCTGCTCCCAGCGACGCTTGTTAAATAATGCTGGTTTGTAGCAGGAAAGCAACCATGGTCCCACTGAAAAGAGAGAAGGCTGAGTTTGGGGTAGACCCCTTAGGCTTTTGCCCAGGTTTAGAGACAAATAATATTTTCAATCACTCCTTGTTGTTTTGTCACCATTTCAGCTGAGGTTTTCACCTGGTTTAGAATGTGCAAAATATTGGATAGCTTAAATCCATCCACCAAACTGGAAAAGAGGATGTTTTAATCCAGTGCAACAGGCAAAAAGGGAAATATTTCTTTTTTTTAACCATTTTTACTTTCTTTCTAGTCCCCCCGAAATACTCTCTTTTCAAAAATGATTAGTTATAGGGACCGTTGGTCATAAGGTAAAAATTTCATTATAGCAAAAAGAAACAAACCAGTGAAAACAATGGCTACTGCTCTGATTTCATAAAAGTCCTTTCTCCTACCAGAAACGTAGATCTATTGATACCATTCACACAAACGCCAATGGTTTAAATTAAAATCTTCCTGAAGAAAAGAGAATAAAAGCTGAATACTTACGGGAAGCATACCTGTTTTTATGAGTGCAGCTGATCAAATTGCAGGATCTCCGAGGTGTCAGATATTGTCCCCAGGCAATTTTTGATTTTTTGCTCAAATGGGTTAAGTTCGTTATTTTTAGATTGGTAAGAAATACATTCATTTTTTTAAAATATATATATATAGATTTGTAGCAAAGGAAAAAGCGCTTTCACCAAACGGACAGATATAGTGTCAATATCCTGTTAGGGCAAATGGATTGCCAAAAAAAAAAAAAAAAAAAAGGTTAAATTTCAACCTGCCCCTCTGCAGATTTCTCTTTTGATTGTAG